TAGTACCTACTTCCTATTTTATCTATATCAATCACTTAACTTAAAGGTACCTACATCCTATCTCTGCTTATACCTTGTCTCTGCCTACCAATTAACCCGTCACTATAAATGGTATCTCCTTGAAGTTTGCATGAAAATATTAACTTTTTTCTGTGACCAGAACAAAACTGTGACAAAACAAAAATTTCTGCCAATATATTCCGGCATCGTACAACAACAGAACAACAAAGCGTTTCTGTGAAACAACAAAGAAATATTTTGCCAGTATTGTGTCGTGTGGTCAACTCGGCAAGAACGGTAAAAAGTTAATTTCGCATTTGTGCTGCAATGTAGTACATCCAATTCTCCCTTCGTTCATTTTTTGTTTGGCTTTCTGTCTAGTTATTTCTTTTTTACGATAGGCTTACTGAAATTTTTTATTGTTTACCTTGCAGCTGTCTTGGCAGGAATATTACAACCACCTTTCTACAAACACGACAGACTGAAGTAATACACTTTTTTGTTTTCATTTACTTTTATTGGAACTTTTATTGTAACTTTTAACTTTGGCTTTTTTGCATCCCAGGGCGTTAAATTATGGATCTCTTGGTATGGTCGTAGGTCATGAAATCACACATGGCTTTGACAAGACAGGTGGGTGATAAATACAGAGGGTGAATGATGGACATATGATAGGCATGTTTTGTGCGTGGATTCTTCAGAGAGCGATGTAGCTCAAGAAATAGTAATTCGAGTATTTCATAATCATGTTGTGATCACTGAGCTCCATATATATCTGGAGCAAGAACTTCAGTCATTTGGCCTATGAGAAAAATGATGCCAAGTTGGTGGCCATTGACGTATATTAGCTCGTAAAGAGCTTTTGTACCATTTTCGCCAGCTAATTCCAGTTTTATTCTAACGGACAGTCAGGGCCGTAGCGAAGGGGGTATTGGGGTGTGGTTAACCCCCCCCCCCCAACTTTTTTAGAATTAACATATTCGGAAAATCAGGTTGGTCATTCGGAAAATTACGGCAGTAATAGTATAACAAAATTTTAATTGTAAATTTCGACGTGCTAAAACTATGTTTTCTGACCATCAGAATTCTGTCAAAACTTCCCCCAAATTCCACGAAATGGCATTTCAGAGACTCTAATTTTTAAAATTTCCTCGGGCCTTCGACCCTCGCCACCCCCTATAAAAAAGAACTTCCTACGGACTGCAGGCTTCTGTATGGAACTGCACGCTTCTGTAATGTCTGTGCGTAAAATATGAGTATTTTTGTTTGTAAATTGCGTTTTCATTTTCCGGATAGCAAACACCTTCGTGGCTTCGTATGCCATGAAATATTCGGAATTTTTTTTCGTCATTCGGAAATTTTTGGCCTACACCCTCCCAACTATGCATGCTTAGCTACGCCCTGCGGACAGTATCGCTAACCAAGTTATCATCGATGTCAAAATACGAAATATCGGCACACTCCTTGCCAAGATGGCAGTAATTGAAGAAGCTATTAGACGTCAGTTCCAATCCCTTTCTATTGTTATTGTCTGCGTGGTTAACACGAAGTAAGGGAAAGGTTGAATTTGTACAGCGTAGGGACTGGTGAGTGAAGAACATTGCTTTGACAAGCTTAAGTTAAACAATCTCTTCAAGTCGTTTTATGCAAACGTCATGCAGAAAGAAAAACGGATCATTAATTATACACCAAAAATAATCTTACTAGTTTCGCTTTGGGGTTGCCAGATACATTTTATCCAAGAAAAACGTAGACATTATGTCGGACAATGACTTTTGTTCCTCGAACGAAACTTTTTTGTTGTTACGACTGAGCTGTGACAGCATTCTACCCAGTCTCGGAATACCTTGTAAATATTGAGACTTTGACACATTTCCGTACAATAAACACTTATTTACTGAGATCTTGGGAAAGCAGTGTGTTTTGTGCCCCCCTCGACCTCCCCCAAACATTGTGTTTCCCTCAGTCTCAGTGAAAAAGTGATAAAGGGAAACTAGGGAAAAATATTTTGATAAGAAGTTTCGTAACTCTGAAGTTTCATTGGGTGTAAAGCTCATTGTTCATAAACCACTTTGACCTTCCCGTTAATATTACGAACAGGAAGTGAGTTCGACGAGAAGGGAAATCTTCGCCAATGGTGGACCAGGAAATCGCACGCAAATTTCGTGAAACGGTCGACATGTTTGATTGAAGAGTACGACAAAGTTAAAATATTTGGTTATAAGGTTTGTAAAAACGTCTTTTCCCGTGAATTTAGAAAATTGATTATATCTAAAACAGGACTGGCCATATTTTGTGTTAAGACTAAAACTGGAGCAACAGTCTAATTACCCCCGCCACCCACAGATATAAGATATCTATGCCCCCACCCCATGTTGGCCTTTCAGTAAAATATGGTCCCTTTTTCGGGTAAAATATAAGCAAAAAAGGACGAATAACTTAGTTAGGAAGAGAGTGCATGTTCTAATATGACCAAACGTTTGGCTAGCGGATGAAATGTGTAATATAACTTGCCATCGCATAAGCAAAACAAAGTTGTGTTAATTAATGTATATTTTTACAACTTTCTGTTAAAATATTTAACATAATAATACGCATTGCTTTTACCAGGTTAATGGCAGTAAGACATTATCAGAAAACATCGCTGATAATGGAGGTTTGAAGTATGCTTTTAGGGTAAGTGGAATTGAAGAATACAGGATTCCAGCGGTTTTATATCGAAGGTTGGATAGGGGCACTGCTTATATGTAACACTTAAGTTAAAAATAAATATATCGCTTGGCTTGTGGGAAAAAGCACGTATATATTAGCACAGATGAAGTTCAGGAGCCGGTTGTTCGAAGCCCGATTAGCAGTAACCCTGGGATGAATTTTAACGTCCTGTTTTTGTTTATGTATTTCTGCATGACCATTCATTTCAAAACTTCAGAAAACAATACTTCTATTCAACTACAAAAGATTTCTGGAAAACATATTCAAGTTGATTGATGAACTATTGGAAAATTTAATTTTTAGGTTTGTGTTAATCCAGTATTAGGCTAATAGACTTTTGAATTAACAACTGGCCTGGGCTTATAGATCACAAGCTTTTGTAATAATAGTTAATAATAATAATAGATATACCATATTTATACAGGTTAATTAAACTTCGTCTGCTAAAAATCGCTACTATCACTCAAGGACCTGTATACACTCATACCTCCGAGCACACTCATACCTCCGTCAACGAGTTATGTATATCATGCATAAATTACACAGACAGACAGACAGACAGACAGACAGACAGACAGACAGACAGACAGACAGACAGACAGACAGACAGACAGACAGACAGACAGACAGACAGACAGACAGACAGAATCGCCTGGTGGTAAATATACGCGGTGTTTTCCGCATATTGTTTTACCGCCAAGCAAAATTTCAAGAAACACTTACTATACAATTATTGACTATATTCCTAAAAACTTTGTTATTTACGAAATCATCTTTTTGAGAGATTTTGGACAAATCGCATTTCATACCCTAGACTTATATATTATGCAAAGAAAAATATTTATTACGCCAAGTTAATAATTTATTACTTACCAAACTTTTGATATCTCTTACGCATTTTTTTTAGGCATATCAAAATTGGCGTAAAATAAATGGCGACGAAGATAAGTTACCAGGTCTTTCTTTCAATAATGATCAACTGTTCTTCGTTGGTTTCGCTCAGGTACCTATTCTCTGTAATACTCCTACCATACCAATAATAAGCCAATTCAGAATTTCCACTCTGCGCATCCAAATAATACGTTTTGCGTTGGGGGATAAATTGCAGTTAAATCATAACATGAAACTGAGAGTGTCAGTCAAAGTATTCAGCTGTTCAATTTTTATTTGTGTTTCACTTAAAGCCACAGTATAGAACTGTGCATTGAATAATTTTTGTGCTAGCAGTATTTTGCCCTCTGTAGAAAGCAAAATATAAAAAAGGTACAGTTAAGACTTAAGGATTCACGTTTTCTAATTTAAAGTGAATAAACCGTGCCAAAATGAATTGTTCTTTGAGCAACTTTTTGCATATTACAATGATGACTGACCCGTTGAATACTTTGATATGCATGTATATTCTAATTCTTCTAGTACGTCTCAGCTACGTATTATAATAGTTCAACTGCAATTTATCCCGATCGCGGCAGAACACATTATTTCAATGCGCAGTGGAACCTCAGAATAGGCTTATTTACAGCTTTCAATATTTTAATATCCTTTCTCTGCATCTTTAATTCGAATTAACAAAGCCCGATTTTGGCAACTTACAGTTTTATTTTATTCTACACTTTTTCAAATTATCGGCTGAAAATGGATAATAGAATTTCTTAAATTGTATTTGTTGCGGCATAGGGAGGACTGAATATGCAGCAAGCAGTTTTTTGTTTATTTTGTATTTTGGGCAGCAAAAAATGAAACACGTTTGTATTGCAACACATATTGAAGGAGTTTAACCCTCTTTACGAGATGCGTCATATAAATAGAGACTTAACATGCAGGCGAAGTTAGCTTCACTTCCGGTCTTCAGATTGGTGTGTGTTTTAAGGCAGCGGTCTATACTTTTATATCCATGTCTCTTTCGCATGCTCGTTCCCATCGTGCATTACATTCAATCTATATCGATGTGACTGGTTATGGGGAATTACAGAGGACATTTAAGATTTTGTCTTAAATCAACAATTTTTCATTTGTGTAGTTATGGTGTTCAAAATATACAAAAGAATTTGCAAAGACTCTGATGGATAAGGACGTGCATTCTCTGAATCCCGTCAGGTGAGCGATCAACCCTGAAATTGTTTTGTACCACCTCCTTGAGACGTTTTGCTTGTCCCCTCTGGAAAGTGTTAAATGACAGATCAAAGTGAAAATTTGACCGCAAATGTCTATGTGTTGCTTTGGGTCTACACTTTATAAGAAAGCGTTTCTGTAGAATTGAAACAGTGATAACTATTCATCTCTGTGTCAAGTACCCTTTTAATTCAATGTTTCGAAAGAAACTTTGTACCAACTACCTCCTCCGCAGGCCATACAGCCCGTTCGCAGGTTTGAGTTTGAAATTTGAGACGAAGGCTTGCGTAGCTGTAAGGCCTGCTGAATAACATGTCGATTACTTGGCTTTTGGTGTCGATTACTCGGTTGGGTCAAATTTCTTCAAAAATATGGCACATCGTCTGCCAATCTTTAGCAATCCCGTTTTGCGAGTATTTTCTAAATACATATTGGCTGTTATGGCTGATAAAAGCGACGGGGAGATTAACAAAAATGGAGGGTTTTACAAGCACAAGCGGCAGTGATAATAGACGTTGTGAATCTATCATTTGGCCAAATTGGATGTTTTGACTATATACACACGCATTTAAATAGTTACACTATATAAAAGACAAATATAAATGGAATAAATTTCGTGGATAAACGGCCGCAGCGTGTTTGTATTAAATATGCAAATTATAAACTGATATTTATCTGCTTCTCTTTATAAATCATTGTATATGCTTGTTTGTTCACTGTTCACTGTTCACTGTTTTTATGTATATTGCTGATACGAAAAGCGATCTATATCAGAAGTAGTTAAAGACTTTAATAATAATATTGTTTTGGTAAAATGATATATTAAATATAATTTGGTTTCTGGCTTCCCGCCATTTTGGAAAATTAGTCCGCAGGCCTTTCGGTTCGTTTCGTACCAATTTTATTTTTTTGAAAGGCCTGCGGAGGAGGTAGTTGTACCAATATAAATATAATAAAGGGCAAAATTTGACAAGTCGTACAGTCAAATGTACCTCGAGGTCCTGATATCTTCAGGATCAAATATCTTCAGGACCCCGAGATCCCCACGTTTTCCAAGTCTCTGCATGCGTAATATACTAGTTCTGACCTTCCTTGTTTTGGCGGCAAATATTACAAGTCAGGCAGATAGAGGACCAAAATGATCGAAAACTTACGTTATCATGGGACAATTCCATTTTGCCTTCATATTGTGCCCTGAAGGCTAATGAGTACGTTTTTGTATGTTGGCCGCGTTAAAATTTCCTGTGTGCTCCTGCCGACACGTTTTTCTTCGAATTTTGTATTCATTTCTATTACAGGTAAAAAATGTGAAATTTCTGATACATTTCTAATACAAATGACTTACATCAATAGAAAGCTAACAAAAAACTACATATGAAACATTTAAATGGTTAGCCGGAATTTTCAAGCGGTTTTCGAGTTATTGCCGTTTCAAATGTGAAAAATGAGCCAATATCTCGCAAAATTCCTGGGAACTAGTCTGAAAACACGCATTCAACAGCTCATAACTCAAGAAGAACTTGAAAAACCGGGTAACCGTTTAAATGTCTTATATGTAGTTTTTTGCAAGCTTTCAAATTATAGAAGTCATTTGTGTTGGAAGTGTATTTGAAATTTCACATTTTTAAACTGTAATAGAGTTTAATACAACATTCGAAGAAAAATGTGTCGGCAGGAGCCCACAAGAAATTTTAAAGCGGCCAACATACAGAAACGTACTAACTAGCCTTCAGGGCATAATATGAAGGCAAAATGGAATTGTCCCATGAAACCATTGACCTCAAAACTACGAGCATACGCTATGCACACGTGAAGCCAGTTGCTGCCATATTGGTGTGACCACCGCAAATCTACAGTGGTGGTGCTGACATGTTAGAAGAGGTTCTTGAAGTTTCTGGTGATTTGTAGAATAAAAAATATTGCCTAGAGAAAAAACGGGTATTAATGGCCTCCCTTCCTTCTGAAATTAGTCAGTGAATCATTATGAATTAGGTCACACCAGTATGGCCACTTGAAGTCTATTATTTTCTGTTTGAAACATTCTAAAACTCATCAGAAGAGGTCTGGGAAGCTATAGCTTTCAAATATGCATAAGGTCTATTCCCTCAATTGAACAGGTTGTTCTATCCAGCCCTAGTTTTGAGATCAGTATCCATAACTGCCATAAGTGTCTATACAGTTGAAGTTGACGGTTCAGTTTTCAATTTCAATTGACAATGATGTGCATGTGATAACGTATAAAACTATATATTTATAGCACATGATAATCTCGTAACGTATATTAATTTTGCTTTAAATTTCAGGGTACGAGTTCCAGTGTCCAACTTTCCTGAATTTAATAAGGCATTTGGATGCACGCCTCGGAAAAACACTTGCTCGGTTTGGTAGTTCGGTTTTAGCTCTATAGCCCTAGTTAGTAGAAAATACATACATTCATGGTGAGGTAGGCTGGTGATCTTCAAAGATTTTCACTCTTTGAAAATCGCCAACCAAGACCTTTAGTTTGCTAAGAGTTTTTTGCTAATTAAGAAACTTAAGGAGTGGTACGAATTCAGTGTCTTAAGGTGCGTTTTACACTTAAAATTTTGGTCATTTCCACGACGAAAGAAACTTTTCAAGATGGTGACTATTTTTTAACATCGTTAGAATACGAAAGAACAAGAGCAAGGTACTTAAAACAATCCCAAATCTAGCTTACCCTAAAACTAACCCCATATCTTACCCATGCAGCACGAAACTTGAAAACCTCCCTCACGTCCATCCCTTTTAGCGATTACCGTGCAACATTTTACTGCGAGTTCTAGTGCGATTTTCTTCTGATACATGTGAACGAGTTTACACCAGTGAACTCTAAAAATAACTGGAAGGCTAACTCCTATGATGAAAGTCTATGATTCGTTGAAGCCGGCGCGCGGGAAAATCAGCTTTCAAAAAGACTAAGGAGAGTTTCGAGGAGTGAAAAAAATTCTGCCAAAAGTTTGTTTTCGAGCAAAAATTTGCAAGAAAAACACTTTTTCCATGGGAATACAACAATGATTGGGATTTAAACCAGGTTTTCCGATTAGTTCCAACTGTTTTACATCTCTCTGCAGCAAAAAGTAAGGAGTTTTGCTTTTGTATTTTGAAAAAATGACGAAAGTTTGGACGTGCCGAAGGAAACCTCGCCGTTCAACTCAAAAATATATACTATAAAACATTTTGACAGTCCCAAAATTTATGTTGTACTAAACCCTAGGTATTGGTATTGATCCTGAGCTTTTAGTCCTTGTTTTAGTCGCTTTTAAACATAAATAAATTGGCGTTTTTCAAGTGATGTTATTTTCGTCATCGGCATCTTGTTGGCCACTATGAGCATTTTGAATATGGCATATTTTTGTCAATTTTCAAATGCTTTTTTTTCGACCTTAAAACGTTCAATCTTCTTGAAACTTCGTATACAGATGTATTTTGCATGGGTTTAAATAATTCCTGAGGTATGACGTCTTAGTTTTATCTTAAACTTCCAAAAACTCAGAAAAAGCAGCCTAAAACGCGCGGTTTTTCTGACCGTTCAAGCTTATGGCCGTGTTTTTTCGCATTTTTTTGCTAATTCGTGATTTGTTTGCTTTGCGAATATTAAATTCATTTATAATACTACTGATATAAATTAAATTTGGTAGTATAACTAATATTTTGGGGCAAGATTTTTCTGATCGAAAAATGTGCATATTTTGAAAAAAAAATTTAAAAAGGACTGGGTCTACCTACAAAAAAAGCTTCAAGCACGGCTTCAACTTCCCCCCCCCCTGACTTAGCCTTCCAGTTATTATTAGAGTTCACTGGTTTACACATGAATGTCAATGGAATATACTGAGCATAGGTACTGTTATGTAAGCATTCATTTCTGATCCACTCGTTCACATCCATCGGAAGAAGATATTCGCAACAAAAATTGCAAGTGTATAACTGGGCCTTTAGACAGCTGAGTCTAAGGTTTTATATGTGATAAAATTCACGCTAATTTACAAACTTTAATTTTGATTTTCTCGGCCTGGACAACGTTGATTTCTAATATTACTTCGCCAATGAACTCATAAGATTTTCGTTTTTGTACTATTTAAAACATGAGCATGCAGCTATGTTTTATCAGATATAAAGATACGAGGCGAAGCCGAGTATCTTTAGGTCTGATAAGCCACGCACTGCGAATGTTTTGAATTACTTCAAAGACGATCGATCTAGTAAGTTCATTGGCGAAGTTATTTTCAAAAAATACGTTGTGTAAGTCGAGAAAATCAAAGTTAAAGTTTATGTAAATCAAGGGAAATCTCTATCACATATAAAGATACGCCGACACGCTTATGAGTTTTGAAAAGACATTTAAAACACTCGTAGTCCGTGCTTTATGAGATATAAAGTACTCGGCTGTCAATCTCATATTTTATATCTGATAAAGCACTCCTGCTCGTGTTTAAATAGTCCTTATACTTACGGTTAAGCGATTGATGACATAACTGACGTTGCCCAATTAAACGAAATTTGGCATCGCTTTATATTCGCAGCGTGAATTTGTTAGTTTGTTAGTCGGTTAGTTTAGTTTATATAAAAAATTATAGTATAGCATTTGTAAATTCTGAACGCTGATTGGCTAAGAGCCGTGTTGATATAACTCCATGTCAACACGGGAAATTTTCCGCCGCTTGTTAACACGGAAATTTTTCTTATTCTTCGGGCTTTTGACATTGCTATATTATAAAACAAATATAGAACAATTGCTTTTCTGAAACTTTCACCTCTGTTCATATTAAATAATTTTGTGTTTTTAATTTAAATCAAGGATCACACAAGAGGTTTTTGATAATACTTTTTGATAATAAGAGGTTTTTGATAATAAAAGTATTATCAAAAACCTCTTGTGTGATCCTTGATTTAAATTAAAAACACAAAATTATTTAAATATAGAACATTTTTTCCGTATTGATATATAGTTATATCAACACTCGTGGAAGTTGGGAAAACTCGAAATTCTGTGAAAACACTCCGCCCTTCGGGCGTCGTGTTTCCACACAATTTCTCGTTTTCCCAATTTCCACTCGTGTTGATATAACTGTATATCAACACGGAAAATGTTTTATATTTGTTAAGTATAAAACAATTTGCAAATTCTGAATAGAAGTTCCTTCTTGGAATCAATATTTGAGTAAAACCACAAAATAATGGTAAAACAGAGGGCTTTTCAAAAATAGTATGTCTTCGTGCTTGTGGTGCACTTGTTTTGCGCATGCTCCAGAGCACCGCACTGTAGTACAATGTCTGGTCTTGACGATATAATCGAGCGATTGATGATATTACGGCGAAAGTCACCGAACTGTGGAGTCGCATCCAAAATTCGTATATCGGCGACTCACACAGACGTCTACGACCGCACGTACATATTTTTGCTTGTTTACAATTCTAATTTTAAACAGCCAATCGACGTTTAATTGTAATTATTACCAATTACCAAGAACCAATCTGGCTGTTCAAAATTGGAATTGTAAACATGCAAAAATATGTACGTGTGGTCGTAGTCGTTTGCGGGAGTGGCCGATATACGAAGTTTTTATGCGCGCGATTCCCCAGTTCGGTGACTTTTGTAATATAATCTTAATGGTATAAAGTTTTTGATACACAAATAGCTTAAATATAATGTGTTTTTCTGTCGTGATTCATAAATAATAATAATTGTTTTTGTAATTGACATTGAGTGTTTCTGTAATTCATTAAATGTTTTTGGAATTCAGATGTCGTTCTAAGTACTTTTTGGATAATAAAATCAGGGCTGGATTATAGTTAGTATTATACTTTTAGTGCGGGCCGTGCCTAGCGCCTGCGTTTTAAAGTTTTCTTTTGTCCTTGGAACGATTGCTTAGGTGTTAATTCATCTATGTAATACAGAGCCTGATCGCGGGTAGGGATAAAACGCTGAAACTGAATCGTGGAAACGGAAACGGAAAGCGGAAATTGAAATGGGGATAAAACGCTGAAATGGGGATAAAACGCTGAAATGGGGATAAAATGCTGAAATGGGGATAAAACGCTTAAATGGGAATAAAACGCTGAAATGGGGATAAAACGCTGAAATGGGGATAAAACGCTGAAATGGGCAAATTTAATCGAATTCGTTGTTTGCTAGACCATTGGCATTGCGAAAACATGTAATTTGCCTATAAAACTGAATAAATATAAAAAAAAAGTTCCCGGTAAAATGACAACCACAAATTTTCGAAGAACGAATTTGATCTGACAGTTTATCTTTTATTAATAATGTAATCTACAATTCTCTCCATACAACTTCGAACTCAACTTTTCAGTGAGGCGCGAACTCAACTTTTTGTGGCACCGTTGTTTTCTTCATCGTTTTTGGAGTTAAAAAAACTCACCTTCATTCGACTGAATTTCGTTGTTTTCCTGTGGCTTTCGTCATCGCTATACATATTTTTGCTTCTTAATTTCAAACAGTAGAAAGTATAACTTTTTTGTTTACTTTAAGTTTAAATCCACAGCGGTCCGGTTGAGCGGTCCGTATCGTGAAAAACCGGACCGCACACGAAGCAATTTAATTGGCTAAGAAGCATGGATACCGGACCGCAAAAAATAAATGTAATTTATTTCGAGTGCTGAGAAAGATATCGAACGAGTGAGCGCAGCGAACGAGAGAGATATCTTCTCAACGCGAGACAGATAAAGTTCCATCGATTTCCCAGCATTCATGTATTTTTTTGTTTATTTTATATACTACGAACCTCTTTTACCTGCCACGGCTCTTAATCCTGATTTTTGATTGGTGAGTCAAAACACGATTATCATGTATAATGGCGGATTCAGGGCCTCTTTTGACATATATATAGTAATGTACGTCTATTAATCATTAACGCACGTATTACGATTAGTTTATATTTAGAATATGGACATTATATATTCAGTTGTTTACATGTAGCCGAGATATCAAGAAGTCTATTAAATAAGAGAATATTATAATGGCGACGAAGATAAACGTATTCTATTAAACGAAACGATGGTGGAAGAGCAGGCAGAGCCTCAACCACTGCAGCAACCGGCTGTACAGATCATGCAATCTGTAACAATAACTCCAATGCCAGAATTTTGCCCAGATGCAAAAATCGGAACAAGCCTTTCGACAAGATGGAACAATTGGCAGTCAGACTTCGAAATGTATATAACCGCAAGTGGAATAACGGATCCAAAGCGAAAACGTGCACTCTTGCAAATCAAGCCGGACCGAGAGTTCGCGAGATTTTTAAACAAATCCCCGAGACAGGAACTGATACGGACTACAACATCGCGAAACAGAAATTAAAGGCTTACTTCGACCCTCAAAAGAATCGGCGGTACGAAGTTTATCGTTTTAGACAAACAACTCAAGAACACAATGAGACATTAGATCAATTTCACACCAAACTTAGAACAATATCAGAAACCTGTGAATTCGCAGACGTTGAATTTGAAATCGAAGAACAAATCATTATAGGCGGAAATTCATCAAAAATACGAAAGCGAGCACTGCGTGATCGTACATTTGACTTAAAATCAATGCTTTTAGAAGGACGTCGTGACGAGCAGAGCAAGTATCAAGCTGAACAAATTGAATCTAAAGAACAAACTGACGGTGAGGCTAATAAATTAGAACAAAAACCTAATAACGGTAATATTTCGAACAGTAGCAATGTTATTTGCAGAATTTGTGGGCGTGCTTATCCACACACAGGGGCATGTCCAGCGAAAGGAAAAACCTGTAATAATTGTGGAAAACCGAATCATTTCGCTGCTGTTTGTCGAGGAAAACAAAAACAAACGCGATCACCGAGATACTCAAACAAAAAGCATGCACAAAGAAATTTAAAAACATTAGATACAGGATCAAACTCGAGTTCCGATGAAGACTATTTATATACCATGACAAATACAAAGCTCAATAACAAGGTCAATGTTAAAGTAGGCGTTGCCAAATTTCAAACAACAATTGACAGTGGCGCGACAATAAATGTGATCGATCGTGACACTTTTAACAAAATGCAAGACATAAAATTAACTCGCACGAACACGAAAGCTTTCGCGTATAATACGAAATCACCAGTTGAATTTTTGGGAAAATTCGAAGCGGTAATCGAAACACGAAAACGAATATCTGTAGCCACATTCTATGTCGCTAAAGCTGCGAACTGTGGAAACTTACTTTCTCTTTCTACTGCACAAGAACTCGGACTTATTAGTTTGCATCTAGACAAACTGACATCAAAGGATGCCGCACTAGAAAACATCCTTCAAAAGCATTCTAAAGTTTTTTCCGATCTTGGAAAATTGAAGGGAGAAAAAATTAAACTAGATATAGACAAAACTAAAATTCCGAAAGCACAACCCCAAAGGCGCATACCTTATCACATTCGAGAAAAAGTGAAAAACGCGATAACTGAATTAGAAAATCAAGATGTCATTGAAAAAGTGCCCGAAAATGAAGCTACTCCTTGGGTTTCACCAATTGTAGCTGTTCCCAAAAAAGATGGACAGGTTCGCATATGTGTCAATATGCGGCTCGCAAATGAAGCTATAAGACGAGTACGCCATCCTATACCAACAGTAAATGATGTTAGTTTCGCCCTGAATGGAGCAAAATTTTTCTCGAAACTTGATTTGAGCCAAGCGTAGAACTGGACGAACAGTCAGTTAGAACTGGACGAACAGTCTCGTTATATAACAACCTTTAGCACTCATGTAGGTTTGTATCGCTACAAAAGACTAAACTATGGTACAAACGCTGCAGCGGAGATATTTCAGTACACACTCCAAACCGCACTGCAAGGGCTTAAAGGCGTCAAGAACATAGCTGATGATATCATTGTATTCGGCTCAACAAGAACTGAACATGACGCTAATCTTGACAAATGTCTACAACGACTTGCAATGAAGGGCTTACGACTAAACCGAAGCAAGTGTAATTTCCTTAGTACTACATTGTCATTTTTCGGACAGGTCTTTTCGAAAGAAGGTACTCATCCTGATCCTAGGAGAGTAGCTGATCTATTAAATGCACCTCAGCCAAATAATGCACATGAAGTCAGGAGCTTTCTGGGCATGGCCAACTATAGTAGTAAGTACATTCGAGATTTTGCAACACTAACTGCTCCCCTTCGTGACCTGACGAAAAAGGATGTTCGTTTTGAGTGGACTCAAACACACCAAACTGCTTTTGAAAAGCTGAAAAACACGCTTGCAATTGCTCCATGTATGTCATATTTCGACAAAAACAAACAAACTTTTGTGACAGTTGATGCTAGTCCTGTAGGAATTTCTGGGATTCTTTCTCAGAAACCAAGAAACGGTGACGTAGACAGTCAACAGATAATTGCATATGCCAGCCGAGCGCTGACTGATACAGAAAAGAGATACTCCCAGACGGAAAAGGAAGCGTTAGCGATAGTATGGGCAGTTGAACATTTCCATTTATTTTTATTTGGAAGTGAATTTACACTTATAACTGACCATAAACCTTTAGAAATTATTTATGGCCAACGTACAGCCAAAACATCTGCACGAATTGAAAGATGGGTGCTTCGACTCCAACCATATACATTTAAGATAATCTATAAATCAGGTGCCAGCAACCCTGCGGACTATCTTTCCCGTCATCCAACAAACGAAAGCAAACGAAAACAGGAGAAGATGACGGAACAATATATTAATTTTATAACTCAAAACAGTGTCGCTAAGGCGATGACATTACAAGAAATAATCAATGCAACTAACGCAGACGCAGCACTAACGGCACTCCATGATGCAATTAAAACAAACAAATGGGATTCCCCAATTGTAAAACCGTTCAAAGCCGTAAAAAACGAACTTACGTCTACCACACACGGTGTTATACTTCGAGGAACACGGATTGTCATTCCTGCGGCTCTACAACAACGTGATATTGCACATGAGACACACTTAGGAATAGAGAAAACGAAGTCTCTAATTCGTGAAAAAATCTGGTTTCCGCAAATTGACAACCAAGTAAAAAACACAATTGCTAAGTGCACCACTTGTCAAGCTGTCGGACAGGCGAATCCTCCAGAACCATTACGTATGACCGAAATGCCAGAGTTACCATGGAGAACTGTCCACATAGATTTTTATGGTCCAATACCATCGTCTGAATATCTGTTAGTGGCGGTAGATAGATACTCCAGATTCCCAGAGGTTGAGATCGTTCATTCAACACGAGCCTCAACAGTCATTCCAAAACTTGACAAAATGTTCTCAGTTCATGGCATTCCTGACACCATTATATCTGACAATGGTCCCCCTTTTAATGGAGACGACTATGCACGATATCTGAAAGCCCTTGGTATTCAAGCTAAGTTTTCAACACCCTATTGGCCCCAACGTAACGCTACAGTTGAACGATTTATGCGACCGTTAGGAAAAGCGCTCAAGACAGCGGACACTCGAAGGACGACCATGGAAACAAGAATTGAACCGTTTTCTTTTACAATATCGTACCACTCCACATTGCACTACAGGAGTAC